GGAGGCACACCAGGGAGATTTGTGCAATTGTACAGAACTGATATCTGTATCCCTAAGGAAGTTTTTGCCAGGTCAAACCTTTGAAGTGTGTGCTGAAAGTTGCTGGGGGACTCACACTGGCTGGCATGACTCCTGGATATAGCATCTCTGGGGAGACCAAGGTGGACTGGGAATCACTTTTCAGGGAACTTCAGAGGCCTGGCCTGAACTGCACTCACATATGTACTTAAAAGAGACCAAAGTGAGAGGACGTGCAGACAGTTATTAGAACTACATGAAGGAACATAAATTAGTTATATGTGCCTAGCAATTACATTATAGAGAACACTAATTAGGAATTAATGGTTCATGGTGATGTGATGATCTTTAAAATAATGGAAAACATGATGGAAGGTAGAATGTGTGTGAGAAGCAGGGACCTAGTTTTGAATCTTGACGCTATTCCTTAGTGGCTGTGTCGTCTTGGACAATTTCCTTAAACTTGATGAACTGCATGTTCCTTATCTGTAAATCCTTTTCACAGGGTCGTTATGAGAAGTATGAGAATACATGATAGGTGGAAATAATTGGTAATTATAATGATAATCAACACTTACATAGCTCTTTCTGTGTGTCAGAAACTATTGGAAACAATTTACATATTAGCTCACTTAATCCTCAAAAAAAAAAAAAGAAGAAGAAGAAGAATGCGGTAGGCAGGTATTATTATTACGTCACTTTAGGGAGGAAACCGAGGTATAGAGAAGTTAAATAACTTCCAGAAGCGTAAAAGGTAGAAGCAGAGTCAGGATTTAAACCCAGGAAGTCTGTTAAACACTACATTATATTGTCTCTCAGTGGAGTATCAATCACAATAAGAACAATGTTCTGAAATAGGTCCATTAGAAGAAGTTGAAACATGAAATTAAGAATGACTAGCATTTATAAGAGACAAAGAATATATGAGGATATAAAAATTATTGTCTACCAGCTTTGACTATGAAGTCTGGTGGAAGAATTTTGGAGCAAACAGATTATTTCTAGTTGTCCCAGCTCCCTGGAAAATGACAAATTCTACTAACTTGCGTAATTTAAAACTAGGTCAGGAACTAGAAGGGTAAGGTCCTTTTTCTTTTGCAGGAAATTTCCTTTCAAACATGTTTCATTCTCTTGACAATTTTGTACAAGTTTCAAGGTTAAATATTTTTACCTTATTTCATTTGGAATCTTGTCTTTCTTATTTTTCCTGGCAGTACATTCTTTTTACAGGCCCTAACATTGTCAAATTTCTGTGTTTCTTCTCTGACCACAGCAGGTTAGATAAGACCTATGCATTCCAGTGATAGCCATCAGCGTGCACTTCTTATTTCTTTTC